TAGAGATTCTCCGAGATACTGCTTAATGCTGCATATCTCTTTTCTTAGACTTGCAACTCGGGATGCAGGAAAAAATTTTTCCAAAAATTTCTTTTTCAGCTGAGCCCATGTTGTGATACTACCTGCAGGTAGGTAGCATAACCAATCCTTCGCTGTATCCTTGAGGGAGAAAGGGAATGCTCTAAGTTTGATATGTTCTTCAGTAATCCCTGGAGGTTTCAAACTAGAATACACCACATCGAACTCTTGGATGTGTTTATAGGGTTCCTCACCCGAGAGGCCATGGAACGTGGGTAAGAGGTGAATTAATTCTGATTTCAGTTCGAAAGAGATATTCTCAACTAGAGTTGGAAATGTGATGCACAAAGGCTACTGGGCCAATTCCGGAGCAGCCAACTCTCTTAGCGTTCTTGCATTTGCCATAGGGATGTCTTCTTGACCTGGGTCACTTAAATTATCACCACTCGATTCTGATGACTCAACCTCTGGGTCCAATCTCTGAGATGCAACGCTAGATTGTTTCTCTCTGAGCTGTCTAGTTTCTTTCCTAGTTTGGTGCTCAATCTTCTTTATTTTTAGGTCGAAAATCAATTCACCTGTACGAGAAGAACGAGGCATAAACTAGAAAAATGCCAGACAAATACAAAGAAAAACAACTTAGAAAGAAACAAAATTAACCAAAACACCGTTCCCCGGCAACGACGTAAAAAATTGACAGGTGTCGAACATGTACAATAATAATTACTAAAAAGTCCTAGTTACCATCATAATTAATTATAGAACAAATTCAAGTACTGGAGCAAGGACCTAAGTGTGCAATAAGTTACTTGATTCACCCTATTTCTGAAGAGTTTGTTTGATCCGATATAACAGAATTGTCTATAAAAGTATTAAATTTGCAAACAATGGCAAGTAGGGTCGATTCCACAGAGAACGGATAGGAAGTTGTTTCTTTCCAAATCAATAGAACAAAATTGGGGGATATTTAATGAAATGAAAATGAAAATAAAATGAATAAGATTCAAAAGTTAACTCGCCAAGTACAATTTACTAAAAGTAGCAATTAATAAAATTCTACCCAAAGGATCAACTTTTCGGATACGGTCCAATTAAATAATCATCGATGCAAAGATATTTCATTCACTCGTCACTAGGTTGGTTATAACTATCAACAAACTCTGACAGCCAGTTTTTTCTTACTTTTTTGACTGTCAAGATACGACCGTTAACTGCTTTTCTAGTAAGAAAATAACCCTAGGTACGACCGTAGGAATTTAATTATCCAATTGCATTAAAATTAGAAAAATTCAACCCTAACCAATAAACACGCTAAGAGGGTTTATTTAAACTAGATCTTACATTTTCCCAACATAAACCCAATTATGGTGGTTGTCACTAGTTATCAACTAAACGAATAATTACGGATTCAATTTAGTTAACGTGACAGTAGGCTATTAGATTAAATTAAATATCCGACTGTTAATACTCAATTAATAAAATAACCATAAACAATTAATCCAGGAAACGCACGAATAGTAATGAATTAAAAGAAACAGTGAAAGTTCGATTAGATCTCACAAATGTTATGGACCGCGCCTTCGTGTCGACTTTTGGGTAGAGGAGAAATCTAGCCGCTCCTCATCGTATCAATCTCACGTGGTTTGATTGATTCCATCCACACAATTGCCAAAGAATTGGGAAAAATGAATTAACGAAGGAACAGACGAAAAATCCTGCTTCTCTTTGTGCGTTTCGTGTTCGTTTGGAAAAGTAAAGGCAAAAGTCTAAAAGAGAATCATACAAAACTAAAGCAGAGAGCTAAATCGTCTAACTGGAAAAAACTGAAGCTAATCTCTAGATCCCACGTGAATCTGGTTTTTTTGCCAATTCTCTCAAAGTAGCCGCCGCAAGCCAAGAAAAATGTCAGAGTTCAAAAGCTTTTTAGGATTAAAACTTCTTGGGCCCTACCTCATTTTCGGCCCACCTGAGAGTAGCCGCATCCTAATTCTTTTGTTCCTTTACCAATCCCGCGGGGTCCGTCTTTTAGGTGTCTCTCTTCAATTTCTGGCGTGAGCATGCCATGAAATAAAAAGTCTTCTGGAAATTTGCTTCGGGAGATCACTTTTGACACCAACCACCTACAATTTATACAAATATCAAATATGAACAAAAACTCAATATTTAGCACAGTAGGTAACCAAAATTATGACCAAATAACAGCGCAAAAGGTGCCCAATAATTGCTCTATCAATGTAAGAGAATTTAGATGTGCCAATTTATGCATGAGGGGGTCTATGGGTTATATTAGTATTAAGTGTTAAGGTAATTTCAAGAGAAATTTCAAACTCATAAAGTTGATAATCACTAAATCTAACATAATATGCGTTCTTTGTACCCCTAAAAAAAAAAGAAAAACAAAGAAAATGAAAATGACATAATATGTCTTCTAAACAGTTCTTATACTTCGATTTCTCAACTCTAGAACCAAAAACAAATATATAGTACTAGAGTTAGAAGTACAACTCAATAATAGAAGTACAACTCAATAAACTTGGGCAAATGCTAATATCCAAGCGAGTGTATAACTTTATTTGTCATATTATTGATCAGCACTTTAGATCATCCTCATAAGTAGATGGCAGGTTCAAAATCTCTAAATTCCTTTTCTTTCACTTTTAGTGTTTGTATGACACAAAAAAAAAAAAAAAAGAACAATGAAAGAAAGCAAGAAAGAAAAATGAAAGAAACACAATATAGAGATTTCCTAGCTAGTTGAAAGAACTGTCTTTTGTGTTTATGTTTAATTTAGAAATTTCATCGTTAAACAAATTTTAAATAGAACTCGATTTTATTTCTAAAGTAAAACCTAAAGCTTCCCTAAATCAAATTTATTCATAAAGTACAACCACAAAGCCGATATTACAAAAAAAATATCAACACAATAAAAATAAGACATTAGAATTACAAATACAACAAAGTCATTAGAGATTGAAAAGTAAAAACTAAATATTTACTTATATTGGATCTATTTACTTTGTTCGTTGGATGTATAGGAATTCTTTTCAATCAAGGAGGAGTAGGTTTAGAATGATATATAAGCAAACGCGGCCCGGGCTTCCCTTTTCTTTCATTACTTCTTTCTTCAGACCTAGAGGAACCACGTCCGCATCAGTAGAAGTGGTGGAAGGCCCGCCTAAGCCAATGGGAGAGCTTCTGCACCTCTCTTCAAGAGATAAGAGTTTTTCCATCGGTCAACAACTAAATCACTAAATTATATTGGCACATTTTAATATAGTATAGATATAGATGACCACGGTATTATGCTTTTGCCCACCAGCGACTAAGTTTCTTTGAGGAACGTCAAGAACAAAATAGTGGATAAGCATTCAAAAACTCATGATTAGGATTGATTACAATTAGAAGTCACGTATGATATCTACCTATGAGGTCATTAAGTTAAAGACTAATTACTCACATGACTAGCATATGAGTAATTTAGTCATCTTTTATTACAGATTTTACTTAGTAATTTTTATTAATTTTTTTCAAAAATTTGCTGTCACATGATTAGATTCTATTAGTAATTGGTAAAAATCAGTCATTATGATTAAATGTACATAGAAACTAAAATAGTTAGGAATGCATTTGCTTTTATCCAAATTTTAGGAACTAAAAACACTCGTAACCCAAATATTTGAGACCAAAACTGCAATTATCTCTTAAAAATACCCTAATTGCACGTTATAAATAAGGAATCAGCAATAATTGGCCTTGATTAAATTTAGTATATGTTATAGTGTCCTAGTACTAATTCGAGGAAAACAAACCTCTACAGACAACGATATTAATGTTGTTTATTTTTTTGCTTAAAAAAAAAAGGCTATTCATGTCCTTTTCCCTCCAAGAATATTTTATCCTTAGTTAGCTTCAAAAAAAAAGGCCATTCATGTCCTTTTCCCTGCAAGAATATTTTATCCTTAGTTAGCTTCAAAAAAAAAGGGCCGTTCATGTCCTTTTCCCTCCAAGAATATTTTATCCTTAGTTAGCCTCTTATATGTTGAATTGAACGAATTTGCCGCTGTGGTATTGAATTTTGTTACAAAGGGTCGGCATAGTAGCGCCTCAATTTATCACCACGTTTCTCATGTAAAATTAAACAAAAGGATTTTTTAAATTTTTTGTGGTCGGTATTGGATTTTTTGTTACAGAGCGATTCCTAACAAAGGAACAATATAATATGCAAAAGAAAAAAGAATTAATGGACCGAATAGACCAAACCCAGTTTTCTAAAGTTCAGTTATTTCCAAAAAAAAAAAAAAATTGTTAAGGATAACGTCTATAAGAGAAAAAGATGAAAAAGTCCTTATGTATTTAGTCTTCCAATTTTTATTTTTTTTTTGTTAATTTTGCACTCAATAGTTGTATCTGCATTCTTATGTTAAAGTTCAATTCCTATATATCGATGTACAATGTTCAAGCAACTGAAAGCAGCTTAAGACAAACCCCACTCCAATGCTAAATTTCGAGTTTCATAATTTTTGGAAATTTTCCCATGGCTAGCACACAAAATGCTGCCTTATCTTTCTTGTCTTTTCTTTTCTTTTCACATTACAAGAAGGATTTCTTTTGGGGAGAGTTGAGGGGGAGTAGAAATGCCTGAATTATTGATTTGCTTGTGATTTGATCCATAACTAACAGTCTTTTTTTTGCAAGAACTAACAGTCAAAACTAACAGCCTATAACTTACAGTCATCATTTCAAGGTTGTTGCAAAATTAATCCAACAGTAAAAATTCCTTATTAATTTCATAGCCGCGTACTTTTCGACGTCTTCATATTTAACTCTCTCTCTCTCTCTCTATATATATATATATATATATATACATATCCACAATTTTAACATGTCAAATTTGTAGTACAGCGTTCCTATAAATACCACCACGCGGCATTGCTTCCCAATCGTCAAACTTAACATTTTCACGTCATCCCAAAACCAAAGGAATGGACCTTTCATATTCATATTCATCAGCCACAGTTCCCTTAAGCTCTTGCGCCAGGGGCTGGGTTGATCGAATCAGCAACATCTTCCGGAAAGAAATTGCCGTTGACATCGATCATCTCCCTCCCGTTTCTGTTTTTGAAGTCCCCAAAACGCTCAGCCTTAAAAAACCCGAAGCTTATACTCCTCAGCTCATAGCCATGGGGCCGTACCATCATTTACGCCCCGAGCTCTATCAGATGGAGAGGTACAAGCTCGCTGCCATCAAAGAGATCTCAACCCCAGAGCAGATTTCCAATTTCCAACACATCGTGATCAACAGGTTGAAGGAGATAGATCCTTCTATCCGGGCTTGTTACAATAAGTTCATGGACTATGATCAAGATACGTTGGCGTGGATCATAGCAATAGACGGTTGTTTCTTTCTCCACATCTTGCATTCTTATCTTGTGCGCAATGAGACCACGGACAGGAGACTGTTCGGCAACACTATTGTCACGAGAGATATCATGATGCTTGAGAATCAACTCCCATTTGTTCTGTTGAAAGAGATTCGCAAGTCTCTTCAAGTCTCCTAATTCCAATGATCAGGGGGTAGAAGGTGATATTGAGTTGATCTCAATGTTATTTCAATTGTGTGAAGCACAATCTCCTGTTAAGTTCTCTATTGATAAGACCAACAAATGCCGTTACCGTAGACCTCTGCATTTGTTAGATATGATGTATCATATGATTGTTAATGTCCCAGGTCCTGCCGTGTCCGGATGCTTAGTAAATGGTCCCATTCAACTCGTGCCAACTTATACAGAATTCAGGAACTCATCGACCTCTTCATCCTCGTCCTTCTCGACTGATAATGAAGATCCAGAAGTGGCTCACAATAATTTGGAAACACTCTTGGACTTGGTGGAGACCATTGGTCCTAAGCATACCCAGCGATTTCTTAGCCCTGTTAAGTTTGTATCGAGTATTCCATGGTCAACTATTTCTGGGCTGTACAGAAAAGGCAACCTGGGTACTGGAGAGCAAAATTCAGAACATGATGAAATAGAAATTCCGTCGGTATCTCATCTCTGGCGCTATGCTAAAGTGCAATGCAAACCCTTCATTGGGAGCATTCAAGAGATCAAGTTCGTGGAAGAGGAAGCCGCTTTGTACCTTCCTGTAATGAATTTGAACGCGAGCTCAGAAGTGATAATGAGGAATCTGGTGGCCTACGAGGCTGCTATGTGTAAGTCAACCCTTAAATTTGCTCGATACGTCAACCTCATGAATGGGATTATAGACACCGCAGAAGACGTGAAGCTGCTGAAGCAAAATGGGGTGATCAAGGGGGTTCTCACGGATGGGGAAATTGCTGATCAATTCAACGGTATGCAGAGATGTTATGCCGGCTCAGATCACAAGTCTAACATCGAGGTTGCCGTTGAGAAAGTTAACAAATTCTACGGCAAGAAGCTTTTGATCAGGACGGTTAGAGGGTTGAAGAAGAATTTGTATGCTTCATGGAAATGTCTGGCCCTGGTTTCCACTGTGGTGCTGCTTGTCGTGCTTAGCTTGCAGACCTTTTGCGAATTCTATCAGTGCAGCAAAATCTGGAACTTCCACCAGGAACCATCATGATCATCTCAATCAGCACCAGGAAGCAAAATGTCTGTTTTAATTGAACAGAGAAGCATATGATTCATTTATTTCTTCTTTTTTTCTTTATTAAATTATTGTTTCTCATGGAAGGTCTGCTCTAATCTAGAATTGTTAGTATCCAAGCGCGGAACAAGTAACTATTGAGATATCAAGTACACAACAATTTAATGACAAATAAGCCACAAGTATGAAAAATAAATGACACACAATATTTAACGTGGTTCGACTCCATCATTGAGTCTACGTCTACCGTAAGAAGCCTATTCTTTATTATGAGAGGAAAATCCTATACAAGAATACAACTTGAACCCAAATCCAACCCTTATATACCATCTCTCATCTCCCAAGAACCCTCTCTCACACCCCATGTATAAGGCTACATGACGCCATTGGGTGTCCTTGTGTGTCCTTTTGTAGTATGCCAACTCACCTATTTATAGGAAACATTATTTGGCCAAAACCCAAATAACAACAGGAAACCAGTGCTAATTCCTAGACTTATACATAATAGGAAATAATTTCTAAATCCTTAACAAAATAGGAAATTTCTTGGCTACTATTTCAACTAACTAAAACCAATTAAAAAATTAGTTACTTCTACACAAAATAAGAAACCTGCCTAAAAGAAATTAAGCCAATTCCCAAACAAGAATGCCAAAAAAGGCCAAAAAAATGCTTAGAAAGATATACATGTTTGCTAATTTTGTCTCGTTTAATTGTAGCTTATTACTCCAAAATGGCCCAAAAAAAAAGTGTATCTAAGTTGTGTAAGATTGAAAATAAAGAGGGTATTGTGTATCAGTTTAATCAGAATAAAATGTGATATGCAATGCAGAAAATATGACTTAGGGAGCATTTGATAAAATTGAAATTTAAAACCTAAAAACTGAAACTTAAGTCTGAATTTGCTGAATTTATAAAGTCAATTGGTTTCATAATCTGCTGAATTTGAGCACTAAATTGAAGTATTGTATTTTATGTATATTATACAGTTTGCTACAAATATTTTATTTTACTTTAGATGAAAGTAATTTTTTAACTATTACTTTTTAATTTTGATAAAATGAACTAACACGAAAATCGAATATTTTTGTCCAAGAGAGAGTATGTTTATGTGTATGATAATGTGTGTGTTTGGAAGAAAAAATGATGCATGTTTTTGTTGTATGATAAACATATAACGTTAGAAAATGTGTGTAAGTGGCGAAAACTTGTGAATTTGTGTTTGTGAGAGAGTGTGTCTGTATGTGTGCAACTATGTGACAAAAGCACACATATATGAGAGAGGATATGTGTATACGTGTAAAAGTGTGTAGGAGTGTGGTGGAAGAAATTGATTTTGAGTGAGTATCATTATACTAATTTGAGCATACAGCAAATCAAGTGATTGTATTTTCACTTTAAATTTTGTAAAAAAATCAAGTAGATTTTAATGTATTCAAATGTATGGGAATTTTGTTATTAAACAAGCTTAATAGAAAAATTTTTCTTAATTCACTAATTTTAATGACTTTTATTAAAGGATTAATATTCGGTACTTAACGGGATTATGAAATACCGCCTTCTAACTAAACAGTAATAGTGCCCTTACGAAATATAAGTAGATTATCCCTTGGATACCTTCCTACAAAACTATCACCTGCTGTAATTGCTTCAAGTAAGATATTTATTTACCTATATAAGTAAACAATTTTTAGAATTTTTGGAGTGCAAAAAGTAGATGTAGAAGGTCTGTATGTGTGAGAAGAAGTGTTGATAGAGAATAAATACTAGTGTTTTGTCCACAGGTTTCTCACATGCAAGTTGACAAAATGTTTCAGTAGAAGAAAGCAACGAATTAAAATATTCTTTATTCAAAATATGTGAGTTCGATAATATCTTTTGAACTTTGACAGCAGCCATATTTGAAGGAGCTGCCGCAGATTCCCAGTTTATTGGACACATTTGTTGATTTGATGTGTGAAATTACTGAGCAACCTATTAGGTTTTTGGGACAGAAATGCAGCGGAAATTAAAAAATTTTCCCAAAAACCCACTCAAGGATCACCCTAGATTTTGCGTATAGTTCAACAAGAGAGGGAAAAACGGATTACCTTAATCCGTATGACGTTCCTCTGCTGAATTGGAGAAGATGAACAGCCCCTTGAGCAGTCCAAATGTCCTGCCTCTACCGAAATCCACGCGAGAGTGATATCTGGATCGTCTCTACGATATATGTGTGAAAGTGATGAAAGTTGCCAGCCTTTCTTTTCACTTTTCCTTGTCTATTTTTCTCTATGTATGTCTTACACACCTTTTTCCTTTTTTACTCTCTATGTGTAACAAAACCCTATTTTTCCCCTTAAGAGAGTCATAGGTTTTTCATCATTCTAATAGAGAGAGGATTCATCGAGAAGAAAAAGGAAGAGATAGGTTTTTTATCCAATAACAAACTCTATCCCTCAACTATCTGATAGATAGGAGATAACTGTTTTCTCCTATTTGCTCAAATAGGCCTGGAATTTATTTTTCTTATAAATTAAATCCTGAAAGTATCTTATACTTTATTTCCAAATCTTCACTCGGACACATAATTTTAATCCAGAACCAAAATTCTGATGCATGTGATCCAATAGGCTCCAAATACATTGGCAATAATTATGAGTTATAATTCTCAAAAAGAATTAGATAAAATAAACAACTTTATTTTATCATTAATTACAATAATTAATTAATTCATAATTATAAATCATGAGCGGTGTCTAGCAACATGACCACCCAAGTACCCGAAATTAGTCAAGGGAATTTTGACCTAACCTGTCCATGAGAAGTTACCATGTAATTATTATCCTTTCACCATCGATATCCAATTAGTCAAGGAATAAGGAATAAGTGCCAATTCTTTAATGACTAATTAAATTTATTAGTTTCCAGAATTAACCCTAGATTAGGTTAACTTGAAAATATTCTTCAATTAACCTAATGTAGTCGACCTTTTAGGGTTAATTTCCTACTAGTGGCCATCCGGATATCAACTCCTACTATCGGAGTGGTGAATCCTATCTTGATCACTCATTACCTTTCCGTGCTCTACACTACACCCAATCTCTGTTCTCTAAGTCACTCTCAATGAGTAACAAGCAATAGAGTCAAAATGTAGTGATTCACACTCAAGATACTATGGTGATCTCAAGTCGTAGGATCATTTACATAACTTACCACAAGAGATACAACCATTGGCACTAGATAGATATCCTAATGGGATCTCTAAGTGGATCATTCCAATGTATTTGTACGTTACAAATCATCTACACATTAATCTAGGTATCTATATACCATGGCCGATGAGAACAACCACTACTTACATTAAGTAGAGACTAATTGTGTATTAGTCTTTCCGTACTAATGATGTCCTATCTCATTAGTACTATGGTTAGGAAAATTTAAGAATATTACTATAAATGTGATTGATATCTCATAGTCATCAACACTTGTGACCACCATCACATTAGTAAGTATTCTAAGGACTTTATCAGTTATATCTAGCATTTAACAGATAAAGAAGAAGTTATTAAAATACAAAACATATTAAGGAATGTATTAAACAAAATCATTGTTTTAGGGCATACATTCCAACAATCTCCCACTTGCACTAAAACACTTCATTCATGACATTCAGTCAAAATGATAACACATGATTTTCATGTTTCTTTTGAGAAAGAATTTTAGTGAGAGGATCAGCTATGTTATCCTCTGTGGGGACTCTCTCTATCTTTAAGTCATTTCTGGCAATGATTTCTCTAATTAAGTGAAATCTTCTAAGTACATGTTTGGATCGCTGATGAGACCTAGGTTCCTTTGCTTGAGCAATAGCTCCATTGTTATCACAGTATAGAGTAACTGGATCAACAATGGTTGGAACCACACCAAGTTCTATCACAAACTTTTTAATCCAAACGGCTTCCTTAGCTGCTTCCGAGGCTACAATGTATTCAGCTTCTGTTGTAGAATCTGTTGTGGTGTCCTGTTTGGAACTTTTTCAATATACAGCACCTCCATTAAGAGTAAAAATGAAACCTGACTGCGACTTATAGTCATCTTTATCCGACTGAAAACTCGCATCAGTATAGCCCTTAAGTTCCAACTCACCTTTTCCATATACCAAGAACAAATCTTTAGTCCTTCTCAAGTACTTAAGAATGTTCTCAACGGCTGTCCAGTGACCCTCACCTGGATTAGCCTGGTATCTGCTCGTAACACTCAGAGCATAGGAGACATCAGGTCTTGTGCACAATATAGCATACATAATTGATCCAATTGCCGAAGCATATGAAACAGTACGCATTTTATTATTCTCAACTTGTGTCTTAGGACACATGCTCTTAGAAAGGCTTATACCATGAGTCATAGGTATAAAGCCCTTCTTAGACTGATCCATGCTAAACCTCTTTAGCACTTTATCTATATATGTATAGATTGTGAGAGACCAAGCAGCCTTTTAGATCTATCTCTATAGATCTTAATGTCTAATATATAGGTTGCTTCTTCTAAATCTTTCATGGAAAAGTTCTTTGACAACCAGCCATTTACTGATTGTAATATTGGTATATCGTTTCCCATTATTAATATGTCATCCACATATAGTATAAGGAAAACGATTGAACTCCCACTAACCTTCTTGTATACATAAGGTTCATCCAGATTCTTGAGAAACCCGAACTCTTTGATTGTCTCATCGAATCAAATGTTCCAACTCTTAGATGCTTGCTTAAGTCCATAAATGGACCTCTGTAGCTTACATATTTGACTAGGATTTGAAGATGTAAAACCTTCAGGTTGTGTCATGTACACATCTTCCTACAAATTCCCATTAAGGAATGCAGTTTTTACATCCATCTGCCAAATCTCATAGTCATGATATGCCGCTATTGCAAGCAATATCCGAATGGACTTAAGCATTGCGACTGGTGAGAAAGTTTCATCATAATCGATTCCCTCTTTCTGCTTGTAGCTTTTGGCTACCAGTCTAGCTTTATAGGTAATCACATTTCCTTCCATGTCTGTCTTCTTCTTGAAGACCCATTTACACCCTATAGGTTTTATCCCTTCAGGTGGATCAATCAAGGTCCATACCTTGTTGTCGTACATGGAATTCATTTCAGAATTCATGGCTTCCAACCATTTGGAGGAGTCTGGACTATCCAACACTTCTTGCTAGGTAGTAGGTTCGTCATCTTGAATGACTAGTATATCATTGCTTTGGCTCATAAGAAATTCATATCTCATGGGAGCTGAGCGTACCCTTACTGAACTACGGGGCCCTTGTATATCCACAGCTTCTGTATGCGCACCATCATTATGTGGCTGAAGTTGTTCTTCAACAGGTTGCTCAATGTTTGTTTGATGATCTTGAATTTCTTCAAGATCTATTCTACTCCCACTGTCTCTTTCTAAAATAAACTTTTTTTCTAGAAAAATAGCATGTTTTGAAACAAACACTTTTTGCTCAATTGGGTTGTAGAAATAGTATCCTATAGACTCTCTTGGATACCCTACAAACAAACATTGTCGGATCTAGCATCAAGCTTATCCGATTCTGCCTTCTTTACATAAGTTGGGTAGCCCCAAACCTTCATGTAGGATAGATTTGGTTTCTTCCCTTTCTATATTTCATATGGAGTTGAATCAACAACCTTTGTGGGTACTCTGTTAAGAGTATGGGAGGCAGTATCCAATGCATATCCCCAAAACGATTTTGGAACAGTCGAGTGGCTCATCATGGACCGTACCATATCTAATAGGGTTCGATTTCTCCTTTCAGACACACCATTTAGCTGTCGTGTACCTGGAGGAGTCCATTGTGGAACTATTCCATTATCCTTCAAATAAACTCGAAACTCATCACTTAAGTATTCTCCACCGCGATCAGATCGTATTGTCATAATACTTTTACCTGTTTGTTTCTCTACTTCATTTTTGAATTCTTTAAACTTTTCAAAAGATTCAGATTTGTATTTCATTAAATACACATAACCATATCTAGAATGATCATCTGTGAAGGTAATGAAGTATGAAAATCCACTTCTAGTTGTAATTGACATTGGACCACATACATCAGTATGTACTAGCCCAAGTAAATCACTAGCCCGTTATTCCTTTCCAGTAAAGGGCATTTTTGTCATTTTTTCAAGTAAACAAGCTTCACATATATCATATGATTCATAATCAAATGAGTCCAAGTATCCACCTTTGTGTAATTTGGAAATGCGTTTCTCATTTACATGATCAAGTCTACAGTGCCAGAGGTAGGTTTTGTTTAGTTTATCTAATCTCATTCTCTTTTTATTCATATTGAGAATTTGGTTATCCAGATTTAGAATATATAAACCATTATTCTAATTTCCAGAACCATAAAACACATTATTTTTAAAGAAAGAACAACATTTATTCTCCTGGGTTATCCTAAACCCATTCAAATCCAAACAGGAAATAGAAATGATGTTTGTAGTGAGTGCTGGAACATAATAACAATTTGATAATTCTAAAATCAGGCCACTGGGTAAAGCAATATAATAAGTCCGTATAGTTAGAGCAGCAACTTTTGCTCCATTGCCAACACGTAGAGTGACTACACCTTTCCCCAGTTGTCTACTGTCCTTTAAACCCTGCAAAGATGTGCAAATATGAGAACCACATCCGGTATCTAATACCCAAGAGTCTGATTCGGAAGTAGATACATTAATCTCAATCATATATGTACCAAGTGATGAAGCTTCAGCAAACTTCTTCTGCTTTAGGCTTTCCAGATATGCCTTGCAATTCCTCTTCCAATGTCCAGTTTATCCACAATGAAAGCAGGTTGCTTTAGGCTGGTCTGCTTTGGCCTTCTTGACAGGTTTGTTTGTGGACTTCTTAAACCCTTTTCCTTGCTTCTTCCTCTTCTTAGAGGTGAAAATAACAAGCACATTAGTGGGACCCTTCCCTTTCTTTATTTCTTTCTTAGCAGTTTTTAGCACATTCAACAACTGAGACAAAGTGTGCTGCAGATTATTCATCTGATAGTTCATAACAAACTGTGAGAAAGAATCTGGCAGAAATTGGAGCACTAAATCAACATTCAGCTCCTGGTCCATCTTAAAGCCTAATTCGGCCAATTTTTCAATTAGCCCAATTATTTTTAAGACGTGTGGAGCAACAGGTGCTCCCTCTGCCATCTTGCACCTGAACAATTCTTTGGAGGTATCATACCTTACCGTCCTTGATTGTTGTTCAAAACAACTCTCTCAGGTGTTGTACAATATCATATGCCCCCATGTTCATGTGTTGCTACTGAAGCTGAGGAGTCATGGAGGCTACCATGATACATGAAGCTTCCCTATTGTCATCCTTATGCTTCTTGTAAGCATTTCGAGCAGTAGCAGGAGCATTTGGTTTAGGTTCCTGGGGCATGGGCCCATCAAGCACATATTCAATTTTTTCCTGAGTGAGAATGAGTAGGACATTGCGATGCCAATCGAGAAAGTTTGTGTCGTTAAGTTTGCAATCAGTGAGAATGGTACGAAGGCTCAAATTGTTACTCATTCTACAACAGAAATAAAGTTTGTTAGAGAGAAAATTTTTGTTTAATAAAATCATAAAAACTTCGAAATTATGATTTTATTTTCACTATTTTTTCGAATCAATTACCCTCTTAAATTGACTCGGGATTTTCTTAAAAAACCCATAGTGGCTAGAATCCCATCTCAATTTTTTCGACCTTGGGTGAATCCCAACAAATCAAAAATAATTTTGAAAGGTAGGTACTTTACCAATTCCAAATTAATTGTAATTTCTAGATAGGTTAGGTATCAACTCTTGATTTTACATCTTTATGTATTAACCCAACCATTGCCTCTAAAATTAATGGTCTTGAGTGAATCCCAACAAACCATAATTTTAGTTAAATCGTACCATCATTCTTGAGAACATTTCTCATAGTAAAAACATGTAGTAAGTAAGGCAGCCTTGGGTGAATCCCAACAAGCTAGCACTTAATAACTACTCTGGTTTAATACTATAATGATGGAAGGCAACTTTTATTATTGATTTACTATTGCATTTGAGGGATTTGTCTCCTTCTCCAAAACCTTTTGTAATTAAAGTTTTGAAAAAATTTGCTTGTTGGTCTCATCAATAGACATGCAAATAAACATTTCAAAAACATATATAAGCATGAAATTAAAACGTGGATGGTTGTGGATACTTCTAAACTAATTTTCCCAGCCATTAGGGAAATTAGTGGTTGACTAGGGTTTAATCGAAAACCACAAGAAATTCCCCTCTTTGTTGCATGGCTCCTTTTCTTCATCTTCAAGTTACAATTTCTATGCTATTTATACAATTTCCTGTCATCTATCTTCTATCTAATATATTGATAGGTTGCATTTTTGCCATTAATTCTATGATTATTTTCCTCTTTTATTATACCAAATATTGTATTAATTGATAGATTCAACTTATACTTGGTATTTGGTACTAATTGTAGGAAGGTGAAGCAAAAAGAGATAAAACATGTGATTTTTGAAGAGTTTCCCAATTCAAAATGGAGTCTACGTGGATTATTGGCGGAAGATTAAAAGGAAGTCTATTTGGTTTCAAAAAGCTAAAATTTAGGAAATGATAGGATGGCCGGCCCGTGTGATTAATACTCGAAGAAAGCAGCAATTTCTTATCTTTTGATTTCCTTTGCACGGACTTGAGGGAGAAAAAGCCGGATCCCGCGTAATGAGGAGTTTAGTTTCTTTAGGAAGCTAGAAAATAGGAATGAGAAGGAGGGCCGTGACTGGTCTTGGTACTTTGCTCCTTAGCCGACTTTGGGAGGAAACAAGCAAACGAGAGGAGAAAAAGCCGGATCCCGCGTGATAAAGACTGGAGCTAGCAATAAATTCGAATTTTCTTTTTACGGGAGAAATAAAAGAGCACAATTGTTTTGTTCTTATGACTTTTTTTCCTTGGCTAGTTGGCTGATTTGGCCAGGAACAATATTGTAAGCTTCAGATAGCTTTTTCGCATGGTTGTTCTCCATTAATGGAGGACTAACCTCCTACTTTTAGTCAAGGGGACAACTGACGAATTGGTTCGGCAATTACTGTAAGATCTAAACCGCTTTTAATTATTTCCTTCATTTATTGGTATTTATATGTTTCCTGTTTTTAATTGCTATAGCTCGTGTGAATGATTGATTAGTGCGCAATAATTAATTCTTCATATAGGCTATTTTGCTAGTTAGGGGTAATTGAATCCGTAATTGTTCGTTATCCCTATCTCAGTAGCAACTGGCGTAATTGGGTTTATGTCAGGGGAACATACGATCTAGTTTAAACAAACCCTCGTAGCGTGTTTGTTAGTTAGGATTGGGCCTTTCTAATTATTAATGCAAACCAGAAATTAAATCCTACGGTCGTACTTAGGGTTGTTTTTGGGTTAGAGAAATAATTAACGGTCGTACCTTGGCTATCGATAAATTAAGGAAGGGTTGGTTGTTTATCGCGTGCATGATAACTATAACTAATATATTATAAATGTTGGAATATATTTGAATCGATGATCAGATGCATGAACCATTTCCGAAGTGTATCCTTGGCTACAGTTTCCCCATTTATTTCTGTCAATTAATTATTTTCTGCATTTGATTTATTTAGTTCGTTAGCATTTAATCCAAAAATCCCCCATACTTTGAACTCTAAAAGAAACGAATTATCCCCAATCCTTGTGGATTCGACCCTACTCACCGCTATATACAAAATCTGTATTTTTCTCGAGTAGGTATTTATCATTGTACAGGTTCGACACCTGTCAATTTTTGGCGCCGTTGCCGGGGACTGGTGCCTGATTAATTTGTTTCTTTTTGAGTTTATTTTTTTTTTCTTCATTTTTTTTAATTTTTTTTATGTATAGTTTATGACTGCTAACATTCTATATTTTGGTGATAGATTGGATTTTATTTCTACAAGGGGTTATGAGTCTCATGCTTTTTATAATAATCAATGGGCGGTTGCAAATTGTGGAACTTATTTTGCCTCAAATTATTCAACTGATATATGCCCTGCATTTCAAGATGGTCTAAATACTCCAATCGATACTTTTAAAGATTTTTCACTTCAATATCAAACGTGGTATGACCCTTATTCAAACAGGTATGAGCAAGGATGGTGGGATGATTCCAATTTTAATTATGAACAAAGGCTAATAGATTTTCAACAGCTAGAGTCTCAAGAACCGTCAGCCATGTCAGGTATGTCTCTTGAACAAATAGTTGAATTAATAGCTAATAACACATATCAAATTCAACAGGAGACACATCAACTTCAACAGGAGACAATGAATTTTCATCAGGAGACACAAGCGAGCATGCGTAACCTGGCAGATCAAATGGATCAATTGACATCTAGGATAATGCAATTGACTTCTCGAATGAGTGAAGAATTGCCCTCAACGACTATTATCGACCATGAAGAAGATGAGGGTATAATTATCTGGACAAATGACATGGAACTGCAAGAGTCTCATGAAAAAGAATCTAAAGATGCAGTTGAAAAGGGAATTGAAGTACAAGAAAAGGAACCCCAATATCAAATTGTTCAAGTGGATGAATCCAGTGACCAATCTTCAAATGCGGTGACATCTCCTCCATTCCTTAATCAATATTTTTCTAACTCTTATTCTTTAATTCCTGTTAGTGAGATTGATTTTATTATATCAGACGATTTTGAGTTTCATGACAGGAATAAATTAAGAGTTGCGATGGCAAAATATCTCAAACCAGTAAATACTCGTGATGGGGGAGTGAGGGAAGAACTAAGGTCGTTACCTGTTTGTTTGGCACCATCTACTAATCCATGGAAGACCGTAGTTTGTGTGCTCAAAGATTACTCTATTTATGATGGATACCAAGATTACATAGAAGATGATGCACTAAAACGAGCTACACGGTTTTATCCTCCATGAATAAACAAGGCAATGTCTAGCCAAAGACATTAAAGAAAGGCGCTGCTTGGGAGGCAACCCAATGCTCTTTATTTTAGTTTCCTTATGTTTTTGGAGTTTTTATTAAGTGTTAGTTGCATTTAGTGATTTGTTATTTTTGGTGACAGGAAGCTGGTAGTTAGACGTGCCCACGCTAGTTGGTCATGCCTAAGGAAGGAAGTTTTAAATTGGCAGACAGAAGACTACCCAGCAGTTAGGCGTGCCCACGTCAGATGGTCACGCTTAAGGAAAGCAATTTTCATCTGCGGTCGGAAGACTCTACAGTAGTTAGGCGTGCCCACGCCAGGTGGTCACGCTTAACGATCTTAATTTCGGACGGTTGGTCAGAAGATTCAAGGGCAGTTAGGCGTGCCCACGTCTAACGTAGTGATTTAAACCGCAAGACCGCAACCAAAGGACTTTAAATTCCACCACCACCATTGCGCTGTTCAACATGGGTCGTCAGTTCCTGATTATCGCTACTCATCGCGCGTAATTCTTCCTCATCCATCGTGAGCCACCTGATATCCTTAGCTGCCGATCATAGCCTTCATCATCATCAATTTTGCGATCAAGCTCTACATGTCTTTTGCCTCTCACCTACAGTTGTGCCACAACCCCTCTTTGATGATCAAGGAAGTTTCGTTGTCCCTTTTTGCTTTGTATTTTATTCTTTATTGCTTACATTGGGGACAATGTAAGATTTAGGTATGGGGGGAGTAGTATATTGATATTTTATTAAAAAAGTACAAGTGTAGGCATTTTTGTTGGAATTTTTTGTTTGACTTTGTTAAATTTTATCTAATTTTTGCCTATCTTTATGCATATTTATGATTGTTCCTGATAAACGATGGTTAGATGTCTCAAATTTTTCTATTGCCAAGATTTTACACTCTAAGGTGTTAAATATGACATGGTTAAGTTTAAGGGTATCTTTTTGGTGAATATTTGAGATTTTGTGACTTTTACACTTTTTGGTTAACTTCTCTAAGTATTGTAAATATTTGTCTAACATTTTTTTTATACAAATTGATTCAACTATTAATCTTAGTTCTCCATGTTTAAGAAATGAAGCGGGTTTGTGTGATTATTAATTTTAATTTGGTGCTTATTTATGAATAGTATTCGGCTATACTCCACTAGTATCGTTGCCTAGTAACTGGAGGTCTTCACCACAAGTGTTGACTTTCGCGTCAAAAAGCGACGATAACTATGAGTATGTGATCTTTTAGTGATAAAAGTTGAGTAACCGGGTTCGTTTATTTGGCCAATGTCGGAATCCGCGTCAAAACGTTTAAATGGCTAAAGACTAAGCATTCCCCCCTGAAGAAAAAAAAATCAATCAAGTGTGGGAATATTTTGAAAAAAAGTGCCAATAGTGCAAAATGTGAATGAATTGTTAACCCGCTGATCCATGAATTTTAATGTTGAGATTTTGCTTAATAGTCGAACCATTTGTTTATGAATGCTGGTTGAATATTTTATATTTTTAGATTAGTTAATCATAAATTCAAAGAGTTCTTGATCTTAAAAGCTACCTGGGGAGATATTTCTTACAAATTACCGCTAATACTTGA